ACGTACGTACGTCGTCGTCGTACGAACCGTACCGTCGTCGACTAATTAGTCGTTCGTAGTATAGTATACTCTAACCAACTACTCTAGTACCTACTCTCTCTCTCTCTCTCTCTCTCTCTCTCTCTCTCTCTCTCTGTGTGTATGTTGTAGATAGAATGCCCCCTAATGCCTTCTAATTTATACAGGATCTTATATGCCATCTGGAATGGGAAGAAATAGCCATTTTGATGAGGCCTTGAACTCCTTCAATGGTTTATATACTAAAAAATGTACAATGTATTGATATTGGAAGTAACACTCAAAAATAAAATGTATTGGTATTGGAAGAATATTTTGATTTTAGACTGTCATTCTCCTACAAAAAAAGTAACTCCGCATGACCAATCAAAGAGAGCCAGTTGGTGGCGGTTGGCCGAGCCACTTGGCACGAAAGCCTGTCCCTTTGCAATTTGAGCAGCAAGTTGAACCCTGAATAACAGAAGAGAATTTTGAGTCCCTGAATATTTACATGAAGAAAAAAGGAGAAGCTTGAGTTTAGGAATAGCTGAAGTATATGACTGATGCCGTGTACCAACCCTTATACCACTACCATTTGTTTCAAGGGAAAGTATATAGCACAACCAGCCATGGACCAATGGTGCATAGTATAGCACAACAAAAGGCCATTATCATCCATTCCTGTTGACAGATGGTAGAGATCAACTATACCCATGGGAATGCCCCACTGCGTTGAATCACTACCATCTGCTATCAGGAACAAACGGTAGATGTCCCTTCAGTGTATCATATGCCATACACTACAAATGTGTGGTAGTACACTTTCTTTTCTTAATGCATTGAGTATATACCTTTCCTGCGCATATTACACAGCTAGTGTTTCTTGAAGGCACTTGACATAGCATGTTGTCGCCAAGGATGAAGAACCCGGTGCCCCCACACCATTTGCATTCGACATATCCTTTTGAATTGCAAGAAGTACAGGCCACTGGCCTCGGTTGCTACAACACGAATAACCCCAAAATGAGTATATCAACTCAACTAACTTCCTATGTATGAGATTTAAATTCAAACTTTTGATCTTTTTTTGTTTTTTTGTTTTTGCATAATCCAACAATTAAGACATGAAGACCATTTTAAAGTAGAATGGGGGTTTTGGTGTGTCGGCTATTCAAATGCAGTCTCCTCCACATATATACATATCAAAGATGGATTTTGAACCTAGAATTCCAAAAGTTGATAATCTTGACCACCATGATCATGAATTTGAAAAAAATAAAGAAAAGAAAAGAAAAAATTTAACTTTAAAAGTAGATTATTCGTAAACTTTGTTTTTGCGCCGTTCTTTTAAATTCTTTGTAAATCATCAATATGCACTTCTGTTTTCCGTAAGCTGAAAATCATGGACCTAAAGTATATATGCATCTGAAGCGACTTATAATGTGTTTAATAAATCCTAAATCTATCTCTAGGATTTTTGGAAGGGGGGCTGCATTTTAATAGGTGTGTCTTATAGTGCACCATGAACTCTAAACCATGCATGGAACTTCCTAATGCTTGGTGAACTTTCTTCACTAAATTAAACTCTTAAAGGACTGTGCAACACAGTTCCACTAAATGTGTAATTATTGGTTCCATGAGACTAATATGAAAATTTGGGACATCTAGGTCACCGATGGAAAATGTTACAGTTCTGTCCTACCCTGTTGTAAAATAAAATCACATCAATCAAAGATTCTCATATGTGCACCTTGCTTAGAACTAGAGGACTTTCAGGAAGACAACATTAAACCACAAGTCACTACACAATATCACAAGTTATAATCATCAGAAAACACAAAGGGTACTGGAAATTGTCTCACCAAGATAACAAACACCCAAAGAAGGTAAAATCTTAACCCTCTTTGCTTTGCAAGTTGAAATTATTTGTTTTAAACATAATTTGCCCGCACACACATTTATGATCCTAGAGTTTATGGTGTCACTCATGTTAGTAGTCAACCATCTGTCCTCTCAAGGCGAAACATATTCCTAAACAATACAGGATACATGATTGTATAGTCAAATACTCACAGTACATGACCAAAGTGGCATTCAACTCTCATCTCCAAAATCACAAATATATTTTTCCCATGTATATGTTGTGCCTTACATTCTCACCACTGTGCATTTTCGAATGTCAATCTTCATCGCGTCATGTAGAGGAGCTGCCCAAGTTACATATAATGATATAAATGAATCAGCCAACATGCACTTAATCTAGTATATTACACTAAAAGGCAAGTGAATATAGGATATATGACATCATCAGATTTTCTTCAGATCAGCAAAAGGCATTTCCTTAACTATATTTTTTTGCTTTCTACTTCACTTTTTTACTTACAAAGTTCGCACACTCTATGCTTGTTCTGTTTTGTATGCCTCCCAAGAGCCATGCACTTTGTTTAGGTCTTTTATGTTCTTAGTTAAGAACTGGTTTTTAACCTGTCGCATCAGAATATCTTTGCCATAGAACAAAACAAAACCAAACTAGTCAATCCCCATCCATAAAACTTCCTCTACTCTATATCAAGGGAAATCAACTGATTCCTCACTGTCTTGAGTCCAACTGTTTCCTCCCAGCTTATCCTTCAGCTCTCTTAAGCATTCCAGCAACTTGTAATTGATGGATCGAAACTCTTCCCTCATGCTTTAAGAACCAAGGTGCACCTTGCCTTGAGGCCCATTGCTTTCAAAATGCTGGCTTGACAGTTTGATCATGAGAAAGAAATATACTGCTTTCGGACTTCTATTTTAACTATATGAAGGAAAACATTTACCAAATTCCATAAAAATTATCTTCCATAAAACATGATTGTTATTGCAGCTTCCTCTCAATTACACTTCCTTGTTGTACACCACAATTTAGCAAATGCACGTCATAAACATATTTCTCTTTGACTTACATAAAGTTCAACCACATAAGATTGATAACCCAGTGATTCATCAAACTCCTATGATTCTAAAAGTCTCAAACCATATAGTCCCACACCAAGAAACCAGAATCTCCTCTGAGGACAGCACCTCAACTCCCCAAGGGTAGGAATAACCAGATAATTCAAAACCTAAACATAAAGAGGAAATGTCATGAAGAAAAAGTTCTAAGAAATGAGGTGTGAAAAAAGAAGAATATTCGGAGACAACAATTTTCAAACAATCACATAGAGACACAAGAAAATAAAGTAAGGGGGTGACATGTTACTCCAAAAGTACCTGAATATAAGTTGGACAAGTGACAAATAAATCGAAGCATAACATAGCCCAAAATAACAGTTGAGGAAAAAAGAATAACCTCTTCCAAGTTTATGGTAAGGGTGCATCTAGACTAAGTTTATCCCAAATTAGTAAAGAACTTTGTATCACTGATTTCTGTCAGTCTTCCTCTATACAGACATAATTTAGATTTGGTATACAGACATAATTTAGATTTGGATGAAGTTTCTATAAGGCCTAGGCTTTATGAAAACAAAATAAAGCCTCACCTCAAATCCTCATTCGGAAAGCACTTTCAGCAACGGAAATCTCTATGATGACACTCTAAAATCAATTTCCAATACAGACAATAAAATTTGAAACTAAAAAAAATGGTATAGATCTTGCGGATCTGTGAACACTTGTTTTTAGGGTAAAATGGACGGCCTGGATAATTTGTTACAATATACACTATTTTTAGAGCTTAAAATCCTAATTTTTTTTCACAACCATAATATTCAAGCCAAGATGATCGATGTAAAGATCTTCCAATGCTTATATTGCAATTTTTTTATGAGTTATAAGGTGAGGTTCTACTTATTTTGATAGGGCAGCCTTATCAAACCATTGTCCTTTAGATTTTAGATAGAGGTATTCAAGATGTGGATTTTGAATACCTCTATGTACATAGATTGTATTTGTACTTAGAGTGATAAAGAGAAACTTTTAGTGAGGCTCATTGTGAATATTATATCAACTGTAAATCATTCATAGAAACTTATACCAGGGGGCCTGTACATATCCCTGCTAATGTAGTGATGAAAATATTCAAATGTAGATCTCTTTCCTCATAAGAGTCATTTGGTTTCTTTTATGTGATTGTAAATTCATTGATTCATTTCAATCATCTTATTCCGTCAAACAACCAACAAAATCACAATTCATATACCGATCAGAGAAGCCCAAAAAAACAAGGCCTATGTCAACAAACAGCAAATAATTTATGGAACCCAAGAATCTCACCAAAATTTCGATGAAAATTTGCCAGAATTTTGGGTCTTAACCATCAATTCCATACAATATGGCAAAAATTTCACAATATCATCTTATTATTCCATAAACCACATGAATGAAAAAATGAAAATACATTGAAAATTAGGAATAAAAAACTGAACATATTAATTCTTAAATATATAGAGAGAAAGTACCTCTGAAATTAACCATGCCTTCTCCATTCGCTTCACAAAATCAGAAGAACTCTCAGAAGAATCCACAACAGAAGCCCTAATACTGCAAACCCTAGAAAATTTCCTGGTAGGAATCATATTAATTCTTGAAGAAGAAGAAAACCCATTGTAGAAACCAGGAAAAATAAGAGTTTTGACACAAGAACAAGCTGAAACCATGATCATAACGGCTATATTTTCACAGAAGGAGATGAAAACGGGGAGCTTTTCTATGCTTCTGGTTCGGAGGACTAAAATGGGATTAGATGTCTTGATAAGGGGAATTATACCCAAGAATCGATTTTTCAAGGGGCGAAGGAGTCTAAAAAGAAGGCCCATAGCTAAAAACAACGACTCAGTGCTGAAAATAATCTGTATTATGACGAAAATATTCCTACTTTAGCAGAAATTTCTGAAATGGTCTGATCAAGTTTTTATTGACGGATAACCCCCGCAATTTTGTGACCGTATTTTTTTATTGTTTCATGCAGTAAATGGAATTACGATTAGCTGTCCTTTGCATACCGCGTCCACACCCCATAGTAAACGATTCAATTACGGCGCACCTCCAAAAGTTAAAGATGTAATTTTAATGTTAGAAATATCAATAATAACCTAATAACTGTTTACAATTAATTATAAACTTTAAAACTAAAAATAATAATTTAGCTCGAATAGATCTATAGATATGTGAAAGTTTTGAGAATGGACGATCCAAATAATATATTATAAGATGTACAATTTTTTGTTATTTTAATTTTTTTTTTTTCCCGCATCTTAACATCTTGACGTCAAAATGATTAGTTAGAAGGCTTTTTCACTATTAAAATAACATTTTTTGATGGATTTTTTGGCATGCCTTTCTCGACAGTTTGAGGTTGCAACCTTATTTAAACATTTTTCTGTTGTGATGGGTGACATTAGGGTTGACAATGGGATAGCGGGCTTTGGCCTACTCTAAAAAAGTAGGGCCTAGACCACAAAAGGGTGGCCCGAGTGTTGGGTTAGGGCTACGGGCAAGTCGAGCCTTAGTTCAGCCCCTTTTTTTTTTTTTTGTCATTTGTTTTTGGAAATGGCTAGGTCCTAACGATGCAAGAGCCGGCCTGGACCTCTTTGGATAGGCTTGGCCTATCAGGCCTAAGCCAACTCCAAAGGGACAAGGGCCGGGCCGGGCCGGCCAAAGCTAGGGCTAGAAACTAATTTGCCTTGAGATGTAGTTCAGGCGTTAGAAACTTTATAATGCCTTGCAAATCTATTTTCATCTATAGTTTTGGAACTTCAAATTTTTTAAACTTTGTATATCAAGTAGATCTATAAATACTTGAATATCTTAAAAATAAACGGTTCAGATAACTATTACAAAATGCATGATTTTAAAGACTTTCTTTTTAATATATGATTTTTGGATTTGATTGTTTTTTTTTGTATCAATACATTTCAAAGTAGAAAAAATCAATTAGAGGATTTTTCAATAACATAATACTCTCTTCCAAAGGAGTTTGAGGTATACTTTAATACTATAGGGTTGAGACCTTACATGAACTTTTCATTTTTCTGGAATAAAGAAACTTAATAAAATAAAACAAATGCAAAGGTGCAAAAGAATTCAGTGTCAAATGTCCTAATCTCAGAGCTGTATCCAATGTTTTGACTAAGAAATTTGATCGAAAGGAAATTTTGGTACATAAATTTCTCTCTATAGAATATGCATGTGTTCATGCTTTGGATGTTTCTCTCTCTCTCTCATCTTTGATCTCTTTGTCCAACATTTGTCCACTATGACCATTGGAAATGGTGAAGATGAAATAGGGGCCAAAAACGGTGCAAAATCATTCTTATTTTTGGCATGTAGTTGCGGTTTTTTAAGACAATATTTGTCCTTTTTGCATAGGGTCAACAACATGCATAAGAGAAATAGGCAAAATTGTTATTCAGTGTTTTAAGACAATATTTGTCCCCCTTTTTTGCATGTTGTGAATAATATCCATAGAGAAATAGGCAAAATTGCTATCAGGGTATAGAAAAACAGAAGGTCTCATAATTTTATGGACCCGAACCACAAGCAAAATGTATGCACTAGAGATGCCTGACGGTAGATAGAAAAAGTCTATTCCGTTTTAGAGAGAGCAAAATATGGCTAGAAGACAGAGTATTTGAGAATGAATGAGTAGAAATGAGAGAGAGATAGAGAGACACTTAAAATGGGGAATTCAACCTGCACTGGTACAAGTCTGTGTCAAGTGCAAAAACATATGCCATTGATATAGGTAAAGCTAAAACGATAATAGTATTTATATCATTTGTAATTGCAACTAATTCCTAGTGTGACAACCCAATGATTTTTAAAGTAAAAAAGTACCTGACCAATTAAAAAACAAAAATAAATAGGAATATAGTTACAATAAAAGGAACCCGTGGACCATATTTTTATTCTCGAATAAGAGACTAGGTCAAGTCTGAAATGATATGAAACATATTCAAAGAATTTTTGAGCGTCAGTTGGCATGGTATGTGAATTCTAAACAATTATAGTGATTGACACTAATAAGATAGTATTCGAAGAAATTTTGTCCATCGGTCGTAGTGGTTTGTGGATTCTAAACAACTATAATGTCTTAACCTAATAAAATAGCTATTACGACCCAATAAATGATGAGTATTTGGGCATGGGCTTGTAAACCGCCCAATTTATCAATAGAAATGTTGGGCGGCTTACTTCGACACTAGATGGGTCGTATATCCCATTTAGCGTGTTAATGGAACATGTGCTTAGGTCGAAATATGCACATGCGCTCACAATTTCTCTTTTGTTTCATGAATGTAAGACAAGAGACTATTTCCATTATAAAAGCCACTCTAAGCTCATTCTTCTTCACTAGACATTTGAAAAAAACCATATTGTTCTGAAACACCATATAGCATTTTCCAAACCCAAAGTTCTTTTGGCTTTCTCACCCTTTTTCTCTAGATGTCAGATAATATATGCCAAAAGATTTCCTACTCCGGTAAGAGTATACTGTCCGTGTACTCCCTTGAGCAAAATTGACACTAGGATGATCTTTTAGATATCAAAATTTAGGGATCTGATCTCTAGAGCCCAGCAACCAACCTCAAAGAAATAAAATAATAATAATACTAATCATTCTCTATGTGCCTAAAATAGAAAAAGGGCATCTCAAAATTTAATGGGAACCATCCAATTGTTGGAGGGAATGATCTAGATGTTGTAGAACTCAAAATCTTATATATATATATATATATATATATATATAATATGATTGGATTACTAAAGTTT